TCAAGTTGATACTCTTAATACCTGCTATCAACAATCTTCGTGGTCAGGCTGAATTTAAAAATCTGTGATTCCAGCTACCGGGGAGGCAGAGATCTGGAGGATCGGAGTTTGAAGCCAGCTCGGGCAAATAGTTCTGCAAGACCCTATCTGGAAAAAACCCATCACAAAAAAAGGGCTGGCAGAATGGCTCAAGGGGTAGGCCCTGGGTTTAAACCCCTGTATTGCACAAAATAATAATAATATACCCCAAAAAAAGTGTGTAAACATTTTTGAAACAGTCGTGGCTATACAAAACAAAACCCACATAGTTAATTTCTACATATTTCAAAGATGTGTTCCTGTGGAGGAATTGGAGTCCTTGTGCAGTACTGATACAAATGTAAGAAAGTGTAGACTATGCAAAACAGCATGGAGAAGCCTCAGAAAACTAAAGATAGAATTACATCATTCATAATCCAACATTCTTACTTCTGGGTAAATATCCAAAAGAATTGAAGACAAGGTTTTAAAATAATGGCACTCACATAACATCCCGGAGGTGGAAGTGATTCACGTGTCCATGGGCAGATGAATGGATGAAGAAAATGTGACATTCTTATGATGGAATATTATTCAGCCTTAAAAAAGAAATGCCACATGCTACAACATGAGCGAACCTTGAGGATATTTTTCTGAGTTAAATGAACCAATTACAGAAAGGATAAATACTGAATGATTCCACTTATGAGATATCTAGTAGTCAAAATCATGGAAGCAAAGTAGGAAATGGAGACTTGATAGTCAATGGCAATAGCGTGTAAGACAAGAAAGTTCTACAGATGTTATATAACAATTTAAATATAGTGAACTCCACCACACTGTGCACTCAAAAGTGTACTACTGAGGGTTGAACTTGGGGCCTCTCACTTGCTAGGCAGGCCCTCTGCCACTTGAGCCACGCCACCAGCCCTTTGTTTTGTTGGGTATTTTCAAGATAGGGTTTCACAAACTGTTTGGGCTGGCTTTGAACCATGTTCCTAGAAGGGTAAATTTTTTGTATTGTGTGTTTTATTTTTACCACAATTAACTTCAAATACACATTTGCATTCCAATTCTCATAGTTGCATCAGGATGAATTTTGTAAATGATGCATGCATCCAGCTATGGTGGGGTACCTTGAGCAAATTAGCTCTCCCACTGAGAACTATAAAAGCGGCTGTGGAGCACCCTAGTCAGCCAAGCCTTGAGAGACCAAGAAAACAGAAAGAAAGATAGTATCTTGAAGTGAGCCCTACATTCTCAGCCACTTTTTCTTCTGGAGGCATTGCTGATTTGTGTGTGGAGTCTAGCAAACAGAGAGTGAGTAGCATGCAGAGCTTGAGACAGTCTTATTGGAGACCCAGAATTTGTAGGTCAAGTGTATTAAGGCAATTAGGAATTGACAGGTCAAAATCCCAGAGAAAATAATCACAGTAAAAATGTCACTCACTCAGTAGGCATGCTAGTGCATTGCCTATAATCCCAGGAGGTAAGACGTGGGAGGATCCAAGTCAGAGGCCAACCCAGGCAAAAGCGGGAGACTCTTGGGCCAGAAGCATGGCTCAAGTGGTAGAGAGCATTTGCCTAGTGAGTGCAGGGACATAAGTTCAAACTCCAGAACCACCAAAAAAAAAAAAAGGCGGGAGACCTTATCTGAAAAATAAAGCAAAAAGGGCTGAAGGCATGGATCTCAAGTGGTAGAGTACTTGCCTAGCAAGCACAAGGTCTGAGTTCAAGCTTATTACTGCCAAAAAGGAAGAAAAGAGTCAATCTCTACCATTTCCCTGACAAAGGCACATGTGGATTTGGGCAGGAGGCCAAGAAATGAAGCAAACAGCAACTGCTAAAAGATAGCTAAGCAGAAATGTTTGGCTGTGCCATGGTGCTGGAAAGAATTAAATAGGAAGGAGGGGCCCCAGTGAACACCCCAGAGTTCCAGTCTCAACCGTCTAAGAAGTATACCCACCATGGGAACAAAAGGAAATCAGACATGGTCCTACTACTGCCTCAATCCCTGGCTCGATCAAGATGAACTTTCAATATTCTATCTGCTGGGCAGAAAACAATAAATCTTTGGTAGAAGAGCCTTTATCATTTTTTGTACATAACACTTGACATCCTATCAACAACTGAATAAAAACCCTAGTCAAAAAAGACAATAGAAACATGCACAGGTGGCAGATATCCTAGTTGTTAGATACAAACTTTTGAAAAGCTAACAACATAAAAACAGAATGGACAATTTCACTAGAAATCAAATCAATTCTATTTGATTTACAAGAATCAAATAGCGCCATCAGGGAAAGGGAAATCAAAACCACAATAGATGGGCATGCCTCAAGTGGAACAGCACCTGCCTAGCAAGTGCAAGGCCTTGAGTTCAAACCCCAGTATCACCAAGAAAAAACAATGTGTTCACTTAAACCACAATAGAATACCACTGCATAGCCACTAAGATGCTTATCATTAAAAAAAAAAAAAAAAGGCAATAACAAGCATTTTTGAGGATATGAAGAATCGGCTCTCCCTCACTGCTAGTGGGGTTTGCAAGATGGTACAAGCACTTTGAAAAACGGACTGGCAAGTCCCCAAAAGGTTAAACATAGTTAGCATATGGCCCAGCAGCTCTACTCCTAGGTATATAACCAAGGAAAATGAAAACACGTCAGCACAAAAACTTGTAACTAAATATTCACAGCAGCATTATTCATCATAGTCAAAATGTACGAAGAACCCCAGCATTCATCAACCCTTAACTGAAATATTAGTTGACAATGAAAAAGAATAAAGTGTTGATTATTGGGGTTTTTTTATAGGGTATTGCTATAGAGCTCAGAACTGGCCTGCAACATGCTTCATATTAGGTCCCCCTGCTTCAGCCTCCCAAGTACGGGGATTACAGGCATGCACCACCAAGTCCAGCAAGAAGTTTTGTGTTTTCTTGTGGTGCGGGGGATCAAACTTGGCCTTGTTCATGCTAGGCAATCACTTTGCCACAGCCATATATCCCCAGCCTTTGTTAGGATTTTTGTTCTTTCTTAAGAGGAAGGGTCTCACTATGTTGTCCAGGCTGGCAACTCCTGGGATCAAGCAATCCTTCTGCCTCAGCCTCCTGAGTAGCTGGGATGTGTGTATGCTTCACTGCCGCCCCCCCCCCCCCCCCCGCACACACACACTGGTATGGTTTCTTTCTACTTCAGCGGTAAGGTATCTATCTGTAAAGAGAAATTATAAGCCAAGATGTCATTTTCTAGGAGAGCCCTGAAAGGAAAGTTGGGTTTAGGTTTGTCAGTCATTTCGGACATAATGGGGTGAATCCAAAATGCCTGAAACACAGAAATATATTACTCCCAGATCCCAGGGAGGTGAGCGGTGCTGACAGGAGGCCACCAGGAATCTGGAGGCAGCAGGGAACTAAGCCAGTAAGTGGAGAGAGAGGAGGAAAGAAAGGAAATCTGTGGTACCAGGTGCTTATTAAGGCTGACGGGCATTATCCCTTAGGCTTTTCAGAGGTATTATGAATTTACCACTTTAAAGAAAACACAGGCAAAGGGAAAAGGTTTTACACGACACTGATGTGACCATCAGGTTTTACAGTAGTCGGCTGCCATAGGGTATGGTCGGGATTGATTCTGGGATGAGGAGTAAGTGGGCTACATCACCAACGTTAGCAAGAGGAAAGGAAGTTTTCATGAGGCCAAAGGTGAGAAGATACAAGGGGGTTCAAATAACATGTCAGGCCAAAATAAGGTGTTGAGGCAGCGACTATATCAGAGAAATTAATGACATGGACACATGCAAAAACATGGATGAACCCTGAAAACATTAAGCTAAGTGAAGAAAGCCAGTCACCAAAGGTCATACAAGATTCCATTTCAGTGAAATGTCCAGAAGAGGCAAATCAGTAGCAAGAGAAAGCTGATGAGTGGTTTCACAGGACTGAGAGGTTTTGGTGAAAATGTAGGATAAATGCTAGAAGACTGTTTCTTTCTGGGGTGATAAAAATGTTCTAAAAATTGATTGTGTTGGTGGCTGCTCAACTCTGTGAATATACTAAAAACTACTTAATTGTATACTTTAATGAATGAATTGTATGGTGTGTGATTTATATTATCAATAAACCTAGTTTGGTTTGGATTGGTTTTGAGACTAAGTGTCATTTTGTTGCCCAGACTGGAATATCCATCCTCACCATTAGCATTCATCTTTAACTGATGAGCCTAACAGTGTAATACAACAAGAAAAAGAAACAAAAGGCACACAGAATGGAAGAGATAAAACTTTCTTTATTTGTAGATACATGATCACATACATTTAAAAATAAACCCCAAACAATCTGCAAAAAAGCTGCTAAAACTACTAAGTAGATTTAACAATTTCAAGACATAAGGCCTGCTTACAAAATTCTATTTCTGCATGTTAGCAAAGAACCATTAAAAAGTGAAATTCAAATTTATCTACAATAGCATCAATAATATGAAATGCTTATGGGTAAATTAACATTTTGCATGAAACCCATAAAATATTGCTAAGCAAAACCTAAAAAAAAGAGAGAAAGGAAGAGACCTACTACAGGTTGAGTATCCCTTATCCAAATTGTCTTTAATGAAGACAAACTAGCTTCATTTTATATAAGAAGATGCTGTGTAAAGAGCTAATTTTACTGCTTTACGCTGATTGGTTGGTTGTAATATGTACTTTTCTGAAAGAAGACAGTGAATGAGAATAAGGCTTAGAGGACAAAATCCTCAAAATACAAAGGACATAATGTCTTAGAATTCCACTTAAAGAGACTTATGTTTGATTCAGCTAGTATCTCGATTATAATTTCAAGTCTTATAGCTACAGAAATTGTTTGTTTTTTTTTTCCAGAACAAACATGGTATCCTTATACTACAACAGGGAAGGCAACAAGCATTCAATTTTAACTGCTGAGCTTTTGTACTTTTTGAACATAGCAGTTGACATTATTGCTCTTTCCTTCACAGTCTGGAATTCATCTGCCTCATTAGCTTTTCCAATTTGATTGCTAGGGCCATGTTTCCTTTAATCTTCAATCTTCCTGACATGAAGGCCATTGTTGGCTTTAGTTTCCCTAAAATGAGAAAATGAGAGGGGGAAAGCAATCATTAGTGCCCTAAGGATGTACGGCTTCAAGAATATACATTAAAAGAATTTCCTTTAGTTATATAAGTCTCAGAATCACAGAAATTTCTATTGTAGCATTTTATATCAGTATCTAGGGAATTTCAATTTCCTACTTAGATACGAACAATATCCTGTAAAATAGAGATGACATAAAAAACAACAATCAGCAAAAGATTATGGCAAAAAGCTGAAGATACATTTTTATGTATACAAGTTACAATACACTAAAAGAAACATGGCACTAAAATGAATTCTGGTAAACAAATACTATCTACTTCAGTTAATTTTCCAATCTGTCATAGCTCATTAAACTTTTAACCATTTCAAGTTTAAATTCAAGGGATCAAGGACTAGGACCATGGCTCAAGTGGCAGAGTCCTTCCCTAGCAAAGGCAGGGCTCTGAGTTCAATACCCAGTACTAAAAAAAAAAAAGATAAAGGAAGACACTGAGCTGGGTGCTGATGTCTCACACCTGTAATCCTGTATCTTATCTCAACCAGCAAAAACCCTTGCTCCTTCCTATTATTGCTTATACTCTCTCTTCAACAAAATTAGAAATAAGGGCAAAGTAGTTTCTGCCGGGTATCGAGGGGGTGGGGGGAAGAGAGTGGGGGGTGGGGTGGGTGGTAAGGGAGGGGGTGGGGGCAGGGGGGAGAAATGACCCAAGCATTGTATGCACATATGAATAACAAAACAGTAATAAAAATAAAATTTAAAAAAAAGGAATGTGTAAATACAATCCACAAAACATGGGAGAAAGCATTTGAAATTATATATCTGGAAATATATAAAGAATTCTTAACTCATTAACAAAAAGACCAATTTAAAAATGAGGAAAAGGCTGAATAAACATTTCTTCAAGAAAGTTATACACATCACCAATAAGCACATGAAACAAATGCTTGATATGGCTAAAGCCATTATGGAATGCAAATCAAAACTGGAAGATACCACTTCACATTCAAGAGGATGGCAATAATAATAAATGAGAAAAATCATATAAAATGAAAAAAAATCATAAAAATCATGAAAAATAGTAAGAGGAGGGATATAGAAGAAACAGAAACCCTTGTTTGTGGAATGTAAATAGGACAGCCATGATAGAAAACATTTTGGCAATTCTTTAAAAACTTGAACACAGAATTACCATATGGCCTAGCAATCCCATTTCTAGAAAGATACCTAAGAAAAGTGAATACTTATGTCCACACAGAAATTTGCATACGAATGTTTGTACGAATAAAAGCAGGAGAAACAAACTATCCACCTGCAGGTAGATATATACAAATTGTGATATATTCTTAAGATAGAATTTTATTCAGCCATTACAAGAAATGAACCATTGATATATGCTACAGCTTAAGATGAACCTGGATATATTATACCAAGTGAAAGAAGTCAGATGGAAAGATCATATATCATATGATTTCTATAGGAAATATCCAGAATATGTAAATCAGTAGAGCAAAAAATCAGTAGATTAGTGATTGCCAGTGGGAGGCAGGATAAGAATTATTGAAATAGAACAAAATACTCTTCTGGGGTGATGACACTTGACAGAAGAGGTGGTAGCATTGTGAATGATGGAATTATACATTTCATAATGGTTAATTGCATGATTTGTGAATTGGCCCTCATTTTTTTTAAAAAAGAGAATGAATTACTAATATATGCCACCATAAGAATGAAACTTGAAAATATTATGCAAAGCTAAAGAGGCCAGTCATAAAAGATCACATTACATTCCCTTGTTCATACGAAGTTAGGAATAGGGAAAACTACAGAGACGGAAAGGTGACTGACTAGCTGTTGTTGGAGCTGGAGGTGGGAATACAGGAGGATGTGGGGCTCCTGACTAATGGTATGAGGTTTCTTTCTGAAGTGATGAAAATGTTGTAAGAGCAAGTGTGATGACAAATCTACACACCACTGAATTATTCTATCTATCTACCTACCTTCCTACCTACCTACCTATCTTCGTATCTATCTACCTATCTATCTATCTATCTATGTATCTATCTACCTATCTACCTACCTACCCACCCATCTATCTACCTATCTGAGATAGGGTCTCACTATGTAACCTCAGGCTAACCTCAAACTTACCACCTTCCTGCCTTAGTTTCCCAAATTCTGGGATCACAGACATGCACCACCATGGCTGGCTGAATTATACTTTTAAATGGGTGAAATGTATGGATACATCAAATATAACTTGACCAAGTCATTAAAAAATCAAAACTATTGACATGTAGCAAGATATTAAATTAGTAATTAAAATCTTCCAACAAAAAATTCAAGCTCTAAATGGCTTCTCTAGTTAGTTCACAAAATTAATTACATGTATGTATATAAGGAGAAGGTAATTAAAAACAAAATTAAGACTATAATTCCATTCACAACAGAATAAAAAAAAGAATGAAATACTTAGAGGGAAAAGCATCAGCTACAACAAGAATAATGATATTTAGACCTCGGCAGGGAGGGGGTTTAGAAAGAGTAATACAGATGGGCTGAATTTGATCAAAATACATTATATGCATGTTGTAAATATTATAATGAAATCCCTTTGTACAATTAATTGATGCTAATAAAATTAAATTTAAAAAAATTCTCAAAATATACTATTAAGAAAATGAAAAGAAGGGCGGGAGGCGTGGCTCAAGTGGTACAGTGCTTGCCATTAAGCACAAGGATCTGAATTCAAACCCCAGGACTGGAAAAAAAAAAAAGGGAAAAGAAATGAAAAGACAAGCCACAGACCTGGAGGAAAAACTGCAAATTATATATCTGATAAAGAACAAGCATTCAAAATATAAATATTTTATATATATGTACAACATATATTTATACATATAAATATGTCCAACATATTTATATACAAACATGTTTGTGTATAATGTAAATCTGTATTTATACTTATTTAGAGTTATATAAATATAAAAATAAATTCTTTATATAAAGCATCTTACCACTCAATAATAAAAAAACAATCTCAGGGGTGGTAGTGTGGCTCAAGCAGTAAGAACGCCTGCATAGCAAGCATGAGGCCTTGAGTTCAAACCCCAGTACCAATAGAGAGACTAGAGATTTTCTGATTCCATTTATACAAAATGTCTAGACACAGAGGCAATGGTGTTTGAAGTGGAAATGGGGATAGATGCAAAGAGAACTGTTTGGTGTGATGGAAATATTCCAAAACTGGATTGCAGTGATGGTTGGCCACCTCTATACGTGTGTTAAAAATCACATACACTTACAATGGTGGATTTTCTAGTAAATAAATTATACCTCAGCAACGCTATTGAAAAATAACTATCCAAAAAATAGCTTTTAAGCACAATGTACCATATACACAAATATATATATAAACATACACACACACACATATGTATCCCTCCTCAGATAAAGTATTCTTGAATAATTTGCATTCTTTTCTCTCTTTTTTTTTTTTTGGCAGTCCTTGGGTTTGAACTCAGAACCTTCACACTTGCTAGACAGGTGCTCTACCACTTGAGCCACTCTGCAAGCACTCTGTTTGCATTGGTTACTTCTGACTAAGGGTCTTGCTTTATGCCTGGGCAGTCCTGGACCACAATCCTTCTATTTATGCTTCCCACATAGCTGGGACGACTGATGCACACCACTGGAGCCAGCCATTGGTTGAGATGGGGTCTCACAAACTTTTTGCCCAGGCTAGCCTCACCTGAACCACAATCTTCCCAAGCTTCTGCAAGCACTCTGTTTGCATTGTTATTCTGACTAAGGGTATTCTTTTATGCTGGGCAGTCCTGGACCACAATCCTTCTATTTATGCTTCCCACATAGCTGGGACGACTGATGCACACCACTGGAGCCAGCCATTGGTTGAGATGGGGTCTCACAAACTTTTTGCCCAGGCTAGCCTCACCTGAACCACAATCTTCCCAAGCTTCTCCTCTTGAGTAGCTAGGATTACAGGTTTAAGTCACTGCAGGAAGCCTATGTGGGTCTCATGTTGCCCAGTCTGCCCACGAACTTGGGGGCTCAAGTGCTTCTCCTGCCTCAGCATTTCGAGTATCTGAGACTACAGACACATGCCATTAAAACTGGGTACAATTTATTTTATTTCTATCCTGCTGCTTCTTTACACAATGAATTCTATGGGTCAAAAGGAGATATTAAGATAATTTGATTACTAGTTGCTTTAAGACTTTTTTTTTTTTTTGGCAGCACTGGGGATTGAACTCAAGGCTTCACACTTGCTAGGCAGGAGCTCTACCACTTGAGCCATGCCTCCAGTCCCAAGATTTAAGATTTTATATTTATAATGTAAGATACTGTATATTAAGGCACAGAAGTAGCTGTAATTTCTACAAAGAAGATTCTTAACACTATAAGGTCTAAATTGTAACCATTTAAAGAAAAGTAGATGAGGGCTGGCAGAGTGGCTCAAGTGACAAGAGTGCCTGTCTAGCAAGCATGAGGCCCTGACATCAAACCCCATACAGCCAAAACAAAGGAAAAAAGAAGCAAAAACAAACTCACTTGCTACTAATTGAAATTGCTACTACAAAATACACCTCATAGCTGAGTCCATGGCTCACGCCTTTAATCCTAGCTACCTGCAAGGCTGATACTGGGAGAGTGGCAATTTGAGGCCAGTTTGGGCAAACAGCTTATGAGATCCCATTCTCAAAAAAACCAAGGCAAAATCAATTGGAGGTGTGGTTCCAGTAGTAGAGCACTTGCTTTGCAAGCTTGAAGCACTCAGTTCAAACCTCAGGCCTGCCAAAAAACAAAAAAATAATTAAGAGGCCAGTGGTTCGCACCTGTAATCCTAGCTACTGAGGAGGCAGAGATCGGGAGGATCAAGGTTCGAAGCCAGGCCAGGCAAAACATTTGCAAGATTTCATCTCAACTGATAAAAAGTTGGATGTGGTGGCACACACCTGTTATCTCAGCTATGTGGAAATCGTAAACAGGAGAACCATGATTGGTCCAGGCATAAATGAAAGACCCTATTGGAAAAATACCTAAAACAAAAGGGCTGGGGGTGTGGCTGAAGTAGTAAAGCACTTGCCTACCAAGTGCAAGCCCCTAAGTTCAAACCCCAGTACCAAAAAAGGAAAAAATACAGACTATTTATTAACATTGAAAGATGTTATAATGTATAATTTGAAAGGTATATAATATACAATTGAAAAAGCTTATCAAACAGTAGAAATGATATGACCTTGCTTTCATAAGCATACATGTATATTTATAAAATTCATACACACAAATATGTGCATAAATATGTCTGTATATATATATACACATATATATTCATACATGAATGAAAAAAAATTAATTCATGGAAAAAATAATTTTGTTTTCTTTTTTTCTTAGGTGTGTTTCTGATTTTTGTGCTATAAGTAATACTAATACAAAAAAAAGGGTAAAGTTAAAGACACCTTGGTCATCAGGACATTTTATTCAGATTGGCTCAGACAGGACATAGACCCCAACCGAGCACCCTCGATTAGAACTGGAAAGCAAGACTTAAGAGGGCACAGAATACACTGTGATTCTGTTTGTCAGGATTAAAATAGAACGCTTGAATGACATTGATAATTCATTGATAATTTTACACTAGAACATTAGTGTAAAATGCTGCTAACTTTTTAAGTCTTTGTGTCATTAACTTACCAGTCAGCATCATACTCTAAGAGCAAAAGTAAAGCGAGTTACCCTTAAGATTTTCCTGGCAAGTCAGGTGCTGGTGCCTCACACCTGTAATCCTAGCTACTCAGGAGGCAGAGATCAAGAAGATCGCAGTTGGAAGCCAGCCTGGACAAATAGTTCCTAAGATCCTATCTCGAAAATACTTAACACAAAAAGGGCTGGTGGAGTGGCTCAGGGTATAGGCACTGAGTTTAAGCCCAAAAAAAAAAACCAAACTTTCCTGGCACTGTGGGAGAGTGGCAGACTAGAAAATCATCCCACAAAAAGCAGGTCACTGGGCCACAGCAGAGGCTGGTGTCTATTCCTAGTACCACGGCTGGCAAAGCTGCAGCATGACCTTACTCTCAGTCAGTGGGCTGCTGCAAGTTTTGCACCTCCCATTGTGTTGTAGGAAATATAATATCTTGGTCCAGCGAGCAGAAGGAGGCCCATCTCAGAATCTTTCTGAATTACCTCTCTGCTCCCAATATTATAAGTTAGCTGCTTGATCACGGGAAAAAAAAAAAAAAAAAACACCTATTTTCTGTTTGTTAGAAGAAGAAGAAATGGCAAAAAAGACAAGGCTAAAAACAGCCTTCCACTGTTGGGAACAGTTACAAGTCCTGATGATTTATGCAGGGATAAAGTAAAACATCAGAACATTTTTTAAAATTTTCCTCAACTGTCCAGATGTGGTGGTGCTTGCCTGTAATGCTAGCTGCTCTGGAGGCAGGAAGATGGTGAGTTTAAGGTTAACCCAGGCAAAGTTAGCAGCAAGACTGTCTCAAAAACAAAATATAAACAAAAGGCTTGGGGGTATAGCTCAAGTGGTAGAGGACTTGCCTAGCATGCACATAGCCCCAGTACTGCAAAAATAAATAAATATTCCATGAACAACAGGTAAACTAATAAAATTGCAAACTCACCTGAAAACATTTTGACAAAATCATCAGTAGTCATACTCAGCACCACATCTGCCCGATCAGAGGGCTTTCCTTGTCCAACATTCCCATTCTTGTTTTTCAGATCAAGAAACCACGTGCCTCCATCTTTACCTAGAGACAAATGTATGGAAATAATCTTAATTTCTACAACTAGAATAATCTTCCAACATGCTGCTTCCCGGGTTAAAAGCCTTAGGCTTCTATCAATCAAACTCAGCAAATATTTACTAAGCACTTCTTATATTCCAGGTACTGTGCTAGGCTCTGAAGACCCTTCACTAAATAAGAACGACTTGGTCTCCTCACAGGGACTGGGAATGGAAGGCGATGTAGGAGCCCACTGATAAAGGACCAGAATAACTACAGTGGTGAAATTCACACAGACAGACATTAGAACAGAGATTCCTAAGGACTGCGGGCAGGAGAGATAGGCAGTTATTGTTCAATGGGTACAGGACTTGAGTTTGGGATGCAAATTCATTCTAGAGATAAGATAGTGGTGACGGTTGCAATGTGAACGTACTTACTACTACTGAACTGTACTCTTAGAAACAGTCAAAACGGCAACTGTTATGCATATTTTGCCACAATAAAAAAAAAAATTAAACTAGCCAGGTGGGGTGGCACATACCTATAATCCCAGCACTGGAGAGATGGAGGAGGCAGGAGGATCATGAGTTTCAGGCCAGCCATAGCAAGATGTGTTTCAAGAAGCAAAATGAGAAACACAGAAAGAAAGAAAAGAAAAGCTACACCGGGGTTGTAGCTTAGCGGTAGAACACTTGCTGAGCATGCATGAGGCTCTGGGTTCAATCTGTAGCACCACAGAAGAAAAACATGTTTTTAGTTAAAAAACAGGTCTAGGCAAGCTTGGATGAAACTGAGCTTTGAAAGATAAGTAAGAATCAATTAGATGGACAGGGAAGAGGAAAAATATTTCAGGCAATGGGAACAGGATATGCAAAATAAAAACAAAACTAACATTATCAAGACTGCATGCAGCGGGCCAAGTGCTCACATTTGTAATCCCAGCTCCTTGTGAGGTAGAGACTGGTACCATCACAGTTTGAAGCTAGCCCAGGCAAAGTTAACAAGACCCCATTTCAACAAATAAACCAGGCACAGTGGCATGCACCTGTCATCTCACCCTGACAAAAGCCCTATATGAAAAGTAACTAAAAGCAAAACAGGTTTGAGGTGTGGCTCAAGTGGTACAGCAGCTTAGACCCTGTGTTCAAACCCTAGTACTATATATATATATACATAGTGCATGCAGCACTAGTATGGAACTGAAAATAGTGCAGAGGGACTGCAAGGTGGAAAGGGAGAGGACAGCTCATCGGATTAGGTCCTGAGGCAGGCCTGTGAGCAGGTGAAGGGTTCCCAGCTTGGTGCTATGGGCTCCCTATGGAAGGAAAACAACAGAATGACATTTGCATTTTAAATAGGCTCCTCACCTACAGCTTAGTAGGTCTTAGAGGACACAGATAGGGAGCAAGGACTGCATGGGGAGACTGGGGGAAGAATTCTGAGCTTGAGGGTGTGTGCCAGGACCAGGATTAGGGCTGGGAGCTGGAAGACAGATCAGAACCGCAAGGCCAGCTAAGTGAATGAGTATACAGAAGTGAAGGTGGGGAGGGCGCACAGGAACATGTGTTCGCTTGGGGCTTTGGAAGTTGGGTAGACCTGTGTGTTTTCTTGACTGAGAGGGGCTGGCTGACAAGAAGCAGATTCAGTGGGTGTGTTAAGGGCAGTCTGGGGAATGGTGAGCTATGCTGGACATTTTCTCACGGAGGCATCTTAGGGACAGCCCAGTAAACATATCAAATAAAGTCTGGCCAAGCTAGAAACAGAGGTACATTTTCACAGAGCCACTAGTTCATGTGGTCAGTGAAGCCACATGAATGGATAGGACTTCCTACACAAAGTCTGCAGTGTGAAGAGTGCTAAGATAGAGTCTTTGCTCCCATTTCCTGCATAGGGAACAGGAAATATTCTTCTCCTTTCTCTCCTACCCCCCACCCCTGTCTATCTAAACTTTATCCTGTTTTACTAAAATAAATCCTTGCTAAAACTTCCACCTTGTGAGAAAAATAAAAGAATGCTAATTTAGTGACCTAAGGAACACCTTGGAAGGGAAAGACAGAGGCTATGCACCTAGAAAAGGAGATTGACAAGAAAACATGGTCAAGGGCAAGAAAGCAATATGGAGGCTTCTTGAAAAAAACTAAACATAGATCTGCCATATGGTCCAGCAATCCCACTCCTAGAGATATACTTGAAGGAATGTGACTCAGGTTATTATATTACAAAGGCACCTGCACATCCATGTTTATTGCAGCATTGTTCACAACAGCTAAGCTATAGAAACAGCCAAGATGCCCCACTACTGAAGAATGGGTTAAGAAAATGTGGTATTTATACACGATGGAATTTTATCCAAACACAAAGCAGAATGAAATTTTGTCATTTGCAAGTAATTGGCTGGAACTAGAGAACATCATCTTAAGTGAAGTTAGTCAGGTTCAAAACGTCAAAAATCGCATGTTCTCTCTCATATGTGGATTATAGACCTAAAACAAATGCAGTAATATTATTGGACATGGGTCACACACTAAGGGGAGAATGTGCATGGGAGGAATAAGGAAAGGGAAGGAAACCTAAAACCTGAATGTGGTTGATGTGCTCACTTTAGAGGAGTGAATACAGTAATCTTAAAGTGGTGAAGGCCACTATGGAAAGGGGACCAGGAAGTAGAGAGGAGGTCTGGTAGAGATGAACCAATTAGGGCTGTAATACACTTGTGCATGGAAGCAATGCTAGGAATCTCTCTGTATAGCTGTCCTTATCTCAAACTAGCAAAACGCTATGTCTTTCTTATTATCTCATGTTTTCTCTTCAACAAAATTGGAGAACAAGAGGGTGGAATAGGTTCTGCCCGGAAGCAGAGGGGTGGTGGCCCAAACAATGCATACACATGTAAGTAAAAGTAAAAAACAATAAAATAAAAAAAAATTTACAGCAAAATAAAATTTGGTTAATGAGGGGGGTAAAAAGTGCCAAGAAAGAATGCAAAGAGCCCGCTGAGAAGGAAAGCAGGGAAGCTGCTAAGAAGGGTGCCAAGGAAAGGAACATTGGCAGAAGGAAGGCGTGGTTAACAGCCTCAGATGCTGCAGTGTTCAGTTAGGAGTGAACGTCATTCTGGACCCTGGGGAAAGCAAATTCTATGAGCAAAGAAAAGTCACAGCAGTATGTGTTCAGGAGAGTAAGTTGTTAATAAAAGTTTAGCTGGAGGTGTCTCAAGTTGTAGAGCACCTGCCTAGCAAGCACAAGGTCCTGAGTTCAAACCCTAATACTGCCAAAAAAGAAAAAAGAAAAAAAATCCACCAAAAGTAAGTTTGGCTGTGAAAGAGACAAAAAGACAGGTTGGATGTGGTTCGGACTATTGTTACATTCTGTTTTGCTTTGGGTTCTTTTGGTGGGACTGGGATTTGAACTCAGGGCTTTGCACTTTGCAAAGCAGTGCCTATCACTTTAGCCACATTTCCAGTCCATTTTGCTCTGGTTATTTTGGAGATGGGGGTCTCAAAAACTATTTGCCCTGGCTGGCCTTGAACCCCAATCCTCCTAATCTCAGCCTCCCAAGTAGCTAGGATTTCAGGCATGAGCCACCAGCACCCAACTATGTTATGTTTTAAATATAAAATGGAGTTGAGAACATCAAAATATTCTTGTTGGGGAAGAGGATGCAGGATGAACAGGTTGAAGAAAAAGCCAGAGGAAACAGGATCTAGACCTCTGCTGCTGAGGTGTCATCCATGTACTGCCATGCAGTCACCACCTGTCAGAAATGCAGACTCTCAGAACCCCATCTGAGACCGACTGGCTCAGACTGTGCCTCTGAGGTAGAGCCCAGGTACTCAGTAGTCACAGATGACAAAGCTTGGGATGTGCTGAGCCATAGCTGAACTCTGTTCCACTGAAAGGAGAAGGAAAAGACAGTACCTACAATGGATGAGTTATGCCTGATGGCAGGAGGCCAGTGCAATTTCTGAGTGGAGGCTTCTGAGAAGGTTTAAAGTGGTCACTGTGGAAAGTGAGGCCAGAAGCTGAATGCACACAGTTGTGAAGTGTTGCTCAGACCCCATCTGGAGAGGGACAGTGACTTGCTACTGGTGCAGATCCACTACATGGTACGATTGTTTTCCTCCAGCAGGGCTTACCAGCCTGATGCAACTGTAAGCAGCCAGATGGTTTGACTCGCCCAGGATGAGGCCTTTGACAGATATGACATAAGGTCCAACAAGCTTAGGACACAGGCAAGAAAATGACTGAGCAATAGACTATGGATTCCAAGGACAAAATGATGGATTAAGATAAAGCAGAGGAAACAAAGAATGAATAAAGTCCTGTGTGTATGTGGTAGTGGGGATTGAACCCAAGGACTTGTATCTGCAAAGTAAGCACTCTACAACTGAGCTACATCCCAACTCCTTTTTTATTCTTATTTTTGCTGTTCCAAATATGTCTCCATCTAAAAATGTCCAATACAATTCTCCATTTTAATTTATTTTACCCAGGATGACCTCAAACTTACCATTCTCCTGCCTCAGAGTCCTGACTAGCTGGAATTACAGGCATGTACCACCACATCAGGCCTACTTAGAGCTTAAAAGTACCATTAAACTGTGTTAATTTTATTATGTGGAGAAAAAAATATTAACAGGTGATTTGTTTGGGTTTTTTTTTTTTTTTTTGAACTGGGGTTTGAACTCAGGATTTTACACTTGCAAAGCAGGCACTCTCTAACTTGAGCTGCACTTCCAGTCCATTTTGCCTTGGTTACTTTTGGAGATGGTGTCTTTGGACCTACTGGCCCAGGCTGGCCTCAAGCCTCGATCCTCCCCATCTCAGCTAGGACCACAAGCGTGAACCACCGCACCCAGCATTAAGAGGTTTTAAGAACTGACTACATTCACACTGGCACAAGTAGTCTCAAAGATAAAAATAGTAAGGTAACCATGGCTGGTAAATGATTGCATTATACTACCTGTCACAATGCATATATACCTGTCTACATGGGAGTTCCTCTCCATTACATATGCCAAGGAGTTATTTAACAATGGAAGAGATGCAATGAAATTATATTTTACATGTACCCATGTGCACTCGCTGATCTTAAGTTAAAAATACAAATCAAGAGCTGGGCGGTGGTGCCTCATGCCTGTAATCCTAGCTACTCAGGAGGCAGAAATCCAGAAATCAGTGGTTCGAAGTCAGCCCAGGCAAACAGTTTGTGAGACCCTATCTGGAAAAAAACCCATCACAAAAAGGGGCTGGTGGAGTGGCTCAAGGTGTAAGCCCTGAGTTTAAACCCTAGTATATCACACACACACACACACATACACACACACACACACACACACACTCAATAATTATCTGCTATTCTTGAAGCTCTACGTACAAGATCCTGGACCCAGCCAATGATCCAGGTGATCCCTACTGGAGGCTGAATTTCTTCCAGAACATTATCCAACATAATCCTTACCTGAGAGTTCAAACTGATAGATCGCTTGTGTGGCTTTCACAACACCATCATTGAGAAAATCCTTGACAATTCTAAATGTTTCTTCCACAGCTCCAGAGCGGGCTTTTGGTTGTTGTGGCTGAGGCTTCTCTTTTAATTCTGGCACAGGACCTATAAAATATTATTCATGTAAATGGCTTTATAGCCTTGGCAGTGTAGGGCCACACACAGAATAAATTAACAAGACAGACTTGCTACAAATAGAGCTATTTGACCGAATGGCTTTAAATGCACTAAGTGGCACGAATAGCCCAAATCTGCTGGGGGAATGGCAGGCAAATATGTCAGTTGTGACTGCGATGTGGTGGCTTAGACTCTCCAAGTCAAAGCGGACTTTCAGATGAAGTTAAAAAACAACCAACACCACTACACACACTCATTACAATAAACAGACCTAGACAAAACTACTGCTGTTTGGGAGTGATAATCAACCATTCCTTTATATCCCCTCTGAGTTCTAATGAGGAAAAAGACCCTGGAGTCAGAAAGATGAAGATCAAATACCAACTTGTAATTAGTGGAGCTGAAGTGGAAATCATAGCCTGCACCAACAGCTGAGTGAACTTCCTAATCACTTCACCTCTAAGTTAAATTTGTTCACCTAATCTCTTCACCTATGGATGGGACTTGCATGTTCCCATCAGAGGTTAGTACACTCGGTAAGAAGAGCTCATGTGAACACAGAGAACAGCCTGCTCAGAGGGTCAGAGCCATGCAGGATCAGTTTCTTCTCCCCATCTCACTCATCCCAGTGCCTCCTAGTGGATGAGAAGAGAGGTCAGGGCCTGGCATGTAGCTCAGTCAGACAGCATTGCCCAGCATGCTTAAGGCCCTGGGTTTGATCGCCAGGGAAAGAAAGAAAAAAGGAATAGGACTGAAAGGAAAGGAAGAAAGAACAGAAAAAGGAAAGGAAAGGAAAAGAGGGGAAAGGAAAAAAAAAAGCAAGGAAAGAACTATGAGGCTCTGGGTTCAAACCCCACTCCTGAAAGACAGATAGATTAGATAAATAGATAGACAGATAGATAGATAGATTAACTAACAAGCAAACAAACTTGCATCTACTTGTCCCACTGGTTCTAATAATTCTGCATCTGGTTACCCAGGAAGAAGGTAGCAGTTCATAGAACTTTCTGTCCCCACATCATGATACTGGCCCCTAATACTCATCTCTGTTCCTTTTTTCTCCTCCTGGATTTACTTGGGACAGTTAGTAGTTGCCCCACAGAAACAAGTAAGAACAACTCATTAATTAGCTCCAGGACAATCTATCCTCTAGGCTGAAAATTAACTCCCCATCTATCTCCTAACTCAAATTATACTCTGCCATCTTATCCAACACAACTTTCCAAAGGTTACAAAATAAAGTCTACTTGACAGCATAAAGACCTCCATAGTACTAAGAAAGTCACATAAAAGTCTATCAAGTGTCAATTGCCTTCCATTATGATGTTTCTAAAGACAAACAAAAAAAATCTTTCTCTTCTTAAACACCAAGCAGATATTAAAGATGAAATCCTTAAGATCCAATGAAGAAGAGACTTTTTTAACTTTTATTCAGTTCTACAATTATTTTTCAATTCACTAAAGACAATGGGCTCTTTTATTGCCACTTTCACTGCCTCCTGCATGGCATGACACTGCTTCTTACTGACATATAACATTTGTATAGAAACAGAGATTAAATGTACAGCTCAATAACTTACCATGAAGTGAAAACCCTATGTGTCATCCCCACCTAAGCCAAGAAGAAAGACATTACTGATACCCCCAAAGCCCTTCTGTGCCTTCTCCCATTTGTTGACAGCATATATTCATTTTGTCTCATTTTTGCCTTTAAGTAAGTGGATACAGTCACATACTGTCTATTCTTTACGTCTGCTAATCCTTTGCAAACTCTTCCAAGACATGCAAGAGGAGGTAATGATTCCTAATTTGTTCTGAACCTAGTATTCCCTTACGACCAAATTTAACAAAGATATCCTAAGAAAACTGTCTAGTATAGACCAACAACATGAAAATAAATAATTCACAGGTACATGTGCTAAGTCAAGAAGAGACAGGTACAATATTTTTTACATTTTTATTAGCATGTATTAGTTATATGGGGTGATCACTGTGGTACTATTTTTAAAAAGAGCAAGAACTGGGATAGGATGGGAGACTATTTTAGAAAAGGTGGTCTAGCAGAGTGGCTCAAGTGGTAGAGTGCCCGCCTAGCAAGCGTGAAGCCCTGAGTTCAAGCCCCAGTACTGCCACAAAAAGAAAAGATGGTTGGCTAAATAGACGAACTACATAAGGCTGCATATGTGAACACACACATACACACCATTTATTCTACAACTTTTTTTTTGGCTGGTGCTTGCTAGACAAGCACTCTACCACTTGAACCTTGCCCCAGTCCTATCATACGATTTTAAAATACCACATTTTGTCAACAGCTCCTAGAAGATTTGAGAGGCTTCTCTTGATCCCCAGTGATAATATCTAATATCTTATAACCTTTGTAATGCTTATAATGCACAGTGCTTTTGCCCAGTACATCCTTGAAAATAAATTATTTTCCAAATGTACTCTAGCGTAATTAAATGAGACAGGTTTCTATATGGTCGTATTACTTGGAAGCCAATTTATAAATTAAGGTATATATTGCATTCACTCACTCGTTTCTTATTTCCTTATTGTGGTGTTGAGGATGGAATGAAAAGCCTTGCAGACAGTGGGCAAGCATGCTACCACTGAGCTACATCCCCAGCCCTGAATTCCTATACTGCAGTGCAGAGATGGAGATCATCACATATTGCCAGCAGGTGCATAAGTCTGGAATGAAACTGGGTAACATGTATCAAGATGCCTTACAAAAGGGCCTTCCTTTTGCCTGATTACCCACTGTTTGTGATCTACTCTAAAAAAATCATGTAAGAACAAAAACTTACACAGTAATATTTATAAAATGAAACAATTACAAATCAGTAAGATTAATATATTCATGTGATATAATACTAAGTTGCCATTTCAATAGGTTTTCATTTATTTAGGGTTTTGGTTTTTTTTTGAGGTGGGACCTCACTAGGTAGCCCAGGCTGAACTCACCACTTTCCTGCTTCACCCTCCCAAATACAAGTTGTTTTTTAAGACATGGAAAATATTTACAAAATAATTATAAGCAAAAAGGAAGAATTAAATATAATGTAATCTAATCTAGTGAAATATTTATTTGTGGGCATGAATTTTAAGTTACTTTTACAAAGGAAAAAAGTGACTGGGAAAAAATAAACTCAAATACAAAACGGCATTTATACTTGGATAGTGTATTATCTATGGCTTACAATTTTCTCTTTAAGTTTTTCTATACTAAGCTTTTCTACAGAGACTGATTTAAGTGATATCAAATTGAGTAAAGTATATAAGGTCTTCTAGATGTAGCCAAAACCATATTAAAGAGCTAAATGCACAGATGAAAAATATTTTTACTATTTTAAAAGGAATAGGAAATAAAGTAATAGTCAAACAAGTGAGAAAAAGAACAAAAATCTACACCCTCAAAGAAAGCAGAAAGAAAATAAAGCAAAGATTAAAAAATGAATGAATCAGATGGTTGTCCAACTTTATAGCTATAAGAATTATTAACTATTCACTTTTAAATGGTAATTTTTTTGTTTATATAAAGATTATATCTCAACATTCAGTTACTTAAAAAGTTATGAATAAGAGGCAGGCCACAGTGGTACAGGGCCCCAGAGTATGGCTCAAGGGGTAGAACATCTACCTAGCAAGCATAAAGCCCTGAGTTCAAACCCCAGGACCAAAAAATTAAATAAATAAAATAAATTAGAGAATTTTCTGGCATGCTTAATAAAGAAAAAAGGAGAAAAATTAAATTTTTTAAATATAAAAAGAATAAAATAAATATCCTTAAACTTAACATCGTTCAAGTAAATTTTAAAACTTCAAATGGATGATTTTGACTTTTTTATTTTAAAAAATCAGTAACTGAATGAGAAAATAAAAGTTTTCAAAGAAATAACTTCAGAAAAGGCTCAAATGAGTTAGCAGGTGAGATATTTAAACATTTAAAGAAAAGAGCATAAAAAAAGAAAAGTACCCAATTCACTTACCATATTCAAAATAAAACAAATTTACTGCTCTAAAAAATGTAGACACTAAACTGATTTGATATTTTTAATTCTTTTTTTCTCTTTTATTACCAGGATTGAACCCAGAGTCTCACTCACACTAAGTCATGTTCTATCACTGAGCTCTATCCTCAGCCCCACTTCACCCCCCAAAAGTCCAACTTATACCATCTAATGCCTTACTTATGGATAAAATCTAAAGATTCTGCCATTAAAACTAAGAATAAGCTAAGAATAGCTAAAATAAATTTTTCAGTAAATCTAGAAACTCAAGTCAGTGTCTTCTGCCAGAAATAATCCTAGAAAAGACAGATGCCAACACTAAGTTTGACCACTCCGAAAATCATGCATAAATGTAAGTGGGCAAGATTTGAATCCAGATCTGTCTTATTTATTCTAAATTTTTATGCTCTTAATGACTATTGTCTATTAGAAGTCTTTTTAAAAAAAATTTTCAAAGGCTCATAAATGTGACCAAATAAAATATACACAAGTTAATTCCCCTTTTTACTTATGATTTTTGTTCCAAAAAGAATTTCACCCAGCACCCCCACACACACACACATACAACAAGAAAGCATTTCAGTTTGTTTAAATAAACACAATTCAAGAATGAATGAATTTTTTTGGTGGGGGGGTGCGACTGGGGTGTGAACTCAAGACTTCTCGCTCACAAAACAGGTGTTCTATAACTTGAGCCACACCTTTAGCCCAAATGAAAAACTTAAAAAGTGAGATAGGATTCCCTGCTCAACAGCTCACCCATGGTTACACTACAGTAGGAAGCACATAGAAATTTCAATCCAGACACTGATGCCAGACCTGCAATTTTACCCACTATTTTACACTTCCTCCACATTTCTTTCTGCATCTAAGTAGCTAATTTTTATATAGCCAACATCAAAGCTGGATCTGAACTCACCAGAACTAGCCCATGCAGAGGCCACCAGAGCTAGGATCACAAAAACACCAGCTTCC